GCCGATGTTCAATAATTGGTTCATACTCCATTCACATGCACACTATTGATTTGGAATCAGGATTTTCCAACTCTTCTAGGTGGATCCTCCTTATCTATCAACTTGGTTAGAGCACTGGATATCTTCTTTTGATTCTTTCCATTTCGTAAACAACACCCCCGCCACTAGAAGGTGGTGAGTAAGACTTCCCGGGCAGTGGCTGTGTTCGCGTGGCCATGTGACAGTATTCCGAGGGGAGCGAAGTCTCTTCACCCTCAGCTGTACTAGCGCATTCGGGGGAAGAATAAAAGGAAAATACTTGTTGTAGTGCTTAGTATGCTTAGAATTAAGGAAATAAAAATGAAGACAGTCGTAGGCTTTAAATGTATACTTCTTCATTGAATATAGATATTTCACAGTTTAAGATGAGTTGTTGCATTAGCAAAAATATCGATTAACTGTAGAAAAACAACATTTTTTCTGACTTGACTATTGATAACTTTACCATTGATTGAAAGACCTTTAACTCCTCCCTATAAATTTTTTCCATAAAATTCATTCCATCATATATAATCTCAAAAAGGTTTATTGTTATAATAATTATAAAAATAAACAACACTAGTCATTATTTTTCATTGAGGTTTTATTATTATTATAAGTTCTTCTATCAAATATAACACACTGATGTATATTAAGCATTGCGCTCAATAAATATAATGATATGAAAATGCCCATAAATCATACGATAACATTAAAGCAAACTTTTTTAGATGACCAATAATATATGTCTGTTTTAACTGGTTTTCTCCTAAATTTCCAAAAGAGTAGTTTATCTTACCTTAGTTTTCAACCGTAAATATTGATTATTCTATGCTATGACAAACTGGGGAGACATTTTAATCCTCACTAAACATTTACTATGACTTTTAATACTCTATTCGGACAAAATGCAACAAATATCTTGTCAATGTTATCCAAAATACCAAAATTCTATGGAATCACAAACAAGTATTGCAACTCTGTTGTCTCACCTGAACATTTAAACCCTACACCATTGAGTTGGCATGCAACAGTGTTGATGTTTGACTTCAAACAATCCACAGTGGTGCACAGCCATTTTCCATTATCTTCGGTGAGTAACTGCCTCACAGTCTACATGCTTTAACCCCACCGGTCACAGCTTCTTCAGAAGTTAGTCACTAGTGAGCACATGACAATTTTCAGTATGGGATAATAGATGGTGAATGCGTCGCTCAATTTCGTGGATTAGTTGAAGTTAGACATTAACACCGTTGGATGCCGGCTCAGTGGTCTAGTGGTTAAGTGCTCGCGCGCAAAACCAGTAGGTCCTGGGTTCGAATCTCGCAGAGGGTGAGGTCGTGGATGCGAGCTGCTGAGGAGTCCCATAATAGGATGAAACGGCCGTCCAGTGCTTCCAGGTTTTCCATGGTGGTCTAGCTTCAACTGACTCATCATCTTAGCCATTGAAATTACTATAATCTCCGCAAAACCCATCTGACATAGTGGATATTGTTGAATTTCATTGAAGTCTTTGTATGTATTTACGCAATATTGTGGATTAATTGAAGTTTAGCATCAACATTGTTGCGATTTTCTTTCGTCTGAATGTATCCACAAGTAACACATAGGAGTAAACAATTTTAAATAAATTAGATATTTCTGTGGATTTCAGTGTACTTTCAGTTCTTTCTATTTTGGTTATAAAATATGACGTTAGAGTATATTTATCGGTGATGAATATTTGAGCAGAATGTTACGGAACTAATCATGTATAAATGACCACAACAGGAGTTTTATGTAATTATACTAAATCCTTGATGAACACCAATTTTATCAATAGCGTATTCACCAAAAAGAATTTGAAATAGTTTATATTATATGGCAATTATATGACAATTAAACAATAATCTTATCTCACCTTTGAACCAATAGCAAAATTATTAGTATCTAGATACATATAGACTATGAGATAATATGAGAGTATTATAGATGAATGACTGAAATTGTATGCTTTGAATGTGACCTTAATAATACAGATTTTGGGTATTATTCCAGTTACTGATAGGCATTATTTCTAAATTTTTGTATGCTTTTAGTATTAAAGTAATCCTTTTGAGTACAGATAACAAGTAATGTTTTATTAAATATGAGTTTTGCATAAATATGAAGTAATAAACTAGTAGATTGCAGTTAAGTAACTGAGATGATAAATTTCACGACTAGCCGATAATTATTAAAAAGACCCACAATTTAATTCGAAAACCTAATCCGTTACTGCCGTTATGGAAATATAGAGCCTTTACATGAAAGGTGATTGATTTCCAGTGCTGTGATGATTTAAAGCACGTCAAATTATTTCACAGGGAAGGTAATGTCACATGCATTCCTCATGTACTTTACTATGAGTTTATCAGTCGTAGAATTTTCAATATTAGTGTTTGTATTAATCAAAGCTTATATTTATCATTAAAGTTCTTTATTTGATGTTAGATGTTTACGGTTATATCCTGTTTTGGAGAACATAATGTCTCATGGTTTTTTATCCATTCACTGTAATGTAAAGTTAACAACTACTATATATCAAAGCAGCCAATCGTTATTTCTGATTTTCATAGAAAGCGTAACTGTTCTGTATCACTTTAGTGAGACATTCTTGATTACTTATTTTTTCAAGACAATAATCATAAATGACAAAGTAAAATGTGATGATTCTTTTCTACCTGTCAGTGCTATCCTGAATATTTTTATCTTCCCTTAAATTATATATGACGAGATGATTTTTTTCCATTTGATGCATTAAATGTTCATGTAAATTTCATAAACCAAGAGTACTGTAGTTAATCAAAAGTTTACCAGGATGCATTTTTCTTCGTTGTATTTCGCTTTTTCCCATTTCTAAACAATAAACTCATATCATCCATGAAGTTTGTGTAATAAGCTTTGTAGGAGTTGGAAAAGTATCCTAAATAAATTATGTATATAAGGTTATAATTACATACTTCACTACAATAACGGAAGGTGTAAGACAGATAAGAGGAATTTTCTTCTACAAATAAAATCAATTTCCGTGACTGAATTTCTTGATTTTAAGCAACCTTATTGATTCTACAAAATTCTGCATTATTGATGAACTTTCAATTGCTTGGAATTGATCATTAATACTTTGAAGCTTTTCTATTTAAAAAAGATTATTTCAACGTTCATAGATAAATATTTGACCTCAAAAGTCTCACTAAATTATTAAATTGTTTTCAAGATGGAATTCTTGTTCTTTGAACGGGCATAGCTATGAAATCATTTTAGGAATGTTTTTATTAATGGTTTTATAAGCAAAATATAATATTGTTTATAAGGATTTCACTCAACCAATATCAATAAACATCCTTTTCATGGCTCTCCAGAGAAATCTTTTTGTATTACAAGTGTCTTACGGGACCGTAATCACCATCTACTATCATAGTTATAACGAAAGTGGTAGTAACAACAAAACGCAAGATATTTTATAAAAAAAACCTGGCATTTTAAATAACAAACTATACATACAAGACCATAAATACATGGCTAATAAACACAGATCTACCGATAAGAGACATAAATTTAAAAGTAATGACTTATCCTCAAATACAATAACTCGGGAGGAATTAACAATGATTAGTTCACATGTCAGTAACAAAATTACTTGATATATTCTAGTGCTACTCTTCTTCTTGCTAATCGAAAACTTCATGGGTTTTAAGTGGAAGAATTTGTAGTACCATATTTCTTGTATTACGAAACAGAATAATGTTCAAGCCAAAACGTTACACATTACACTTAAATAACTGAAAACAATTCATAAGGATTTTCACGATTCCACATCTTTAAAAAAGGCGTCTTTTTGCACACCCTCTGCTGTTGAGATATTATAAAACCAGAAATTTTAAGGCATTTTGTTTTGACTTAAAAACGTTATTGACAGAAATCATGATAGTGTTCCTCATTTATATAAAAACTTACTCCAATTAGTTTTACAGTTTATCAAACAAAAGTACTTCACAAGAAGTATTCCATATGATTTCTTCCTTTTAAACAAGCTCAATAACTTCTTTATTTCAAAACTACGAAGTCCAAGTGATGACAACAGTTACCCACAGAAGAAAACGGAAAATAGTCAATGACATCATAAATAGGTCAAAGCCTGACACTAACACCGTTGGATGCTAGCCCGATGGTCTGGATTTTAAGCATTCGAGTGAGAGATCAAAGGTTCAGGGTTTGAATCCCGCATGTGAGGTCGTGAATAATCATTGCTAGAACAAAACGACCGCCCAGGTTTTCAATGGTGGTATAACATTGACCAGTTCATGATTTCGATGAAATTGAAATAATATTTCGCTGAATATTCTGAAAATTAATGAAGTTTGGAACATAATGTGATTTTGCCTTTGGCATTTTTATCTAATATATTATCTTTATGAGAACAATTTCAAGTTTATCAAATAGAAAATCCATAGGAATTTATAAGAATAAATTATAGCTAATTTGGGAAGTGTAGTGTTAAACATCCACTAGATGTGCTTTCAGCTTTCATCTTTATCTTAGACGAGTAGCACTTGTTTGTCACATATTTAATTAGAAGTATTTTGATTGATAGTTTTTTAAGGACATAATGCACTGATGAGCCATTTGCCATGGATAAGGAAATTTCTGTCATTATCACCGATAATCTGAAAGTGAAACCTGAAAGTTACAAGATCACATAATCACTGTACTACAACGTCGGTTTCAGTGATCCAAAGACAAAAAACCAATCAGCATGGGATCAACTTAATAAACCCTCAAGTATTTATTATCGATATAATGGTTGACACTTAACATCTACAACATTTACAGTCAATAAATTTGAAATGTCACCTTAGTAAAACAATGATCATATATTTTGTTCATGATTTTCGATAAACTTTAATTCACATCCAACCATATCTAACTATTAACTTTGTATTTCCTTTTTTGTTTAACAGGTTTTATTGGGATTTACTAATGCTCATGTTACTGATTGCAAATTTGATTATTTTGCCAGTAGCCATATCATTTTTCAACGACGATCTCAGTATACATTGGATTATATTTAATTCTATATCCGATGTTGTATTTATTGCCGATATAGCGGTAAAATTTCGAACTGGTAAGTTCATTGTCAAGTAGTTTAACAGATTTGTTTTGCTTAGCTCTATTAACCTTCGTTAGATAATAGTTTAAACGCACTAACTTATATCCTTAGCGAAAAGCAAGATATAGATTTCAAATGTATCAGAAGAATATGTTATGTTAGTTAACTAACAAAAGAAATGTCAGAACTTTGTAGAACTGATAGATAATAAACTGATTCAAAGAAAATGTCATATCGTCATTGTTAGCTGTTAACTTCTTGACTATTCATCACAACCATTTCAAACCTTTTTTAAGTAGTCATTACATTAGGAATTTTCGCTTTCACCTTTATTCAAATTTTATCGATCTTACCTATCAACGTTATATTTGATGAAATTTATTTATCAGAAAGAGGATGTGTGAAGATCATGGTAATTTTAATAGCTGAGATCATGAGTCAATCTAAGTTAGATCACTATTCAAAACGCTTAATCTCTAGACCACTTGAAGAAACTGCTGTATAATGCTTCCATGTTTTCAATGGTATTTATTTACTCAAATTATGTGATTAAGACCGAATTGTATGAAATAACTACCAACCAAATATAATAAAACAAATGATGTAACAACTGATTTATTCATTCAATATTCAAACGAATAATTGAGGTTAAATTATAACCAAATTTATCTAAACATCTTTAAAGTACAACAAAAGTTAATAACCAACCACTATGTTGCCCTATTTATTATTTGATTTTGACAGATATGACATGTAGATTAATACAAAATCATTTTAATATAAACAATATTTTATCCATTCTTTTATTATCATATGTATAAATAATTCAAGCCTATATTACCATTAGTAGAAATCAACTAAATGAACATATTAAAACGTAATATTACAAATGATAGAAATTTCTTTTCTTGAATTTATAAATTTGAACTTATGAACTTAATATATATGTATAAAATAAGATGAATTAGTAAACAATAACCTAACTGATTATCATTTGTTATCAAAATGTAAAAGTACAAATTTGATCGTTGACTATAAATGTGACATCTTTTCTTTCTATTTTTATCAATTTGATTATAAGTTTTTCTTCAAACGTTTAACAAAATTGTAAATCAATAGAAATATAGATTATTAAAAAGCAACAAAAAAAAAATAAAACAGGTTATAAACAAACTTCCTTAGTTGAAGGTTTCCATTATTTTTTTTCGTATGTGTTTTATCTTCAGTTACATCAGTGCACATCAAATAACAATTTACTTGCCGGAGGGGGGGGAAGCAGAAATGTTACCTATATAACACTGTGAACTAAGTAGGTTTGTCAGCGGATACGTTATAAAAGGAGTCAGTGCATTTTTAAAAGTGTATACTATACAATACAATCGATTTTATCTACTTCCATGGTTGAGATCATGAGTCAATTGAAGCTAGACCACCATGAAAAACCTTGAAACACCGGGAGGGCTTATTGTAGGACTCCTCAGCAGTGCGCATCCTCGACCCCGCCTTTCGAGATTCGAGCCAAGGACCTATCAGAGACGTGCTTAACCACTAGACCCCTGATTCGGCATCCAGTGGTATTAATGTCTAACTTCAACCAGTCCACGAAAGTGAGCGTGTTGGAGTGATCCTGAAAATTGTTCGCAAAAGACAAGCAAGCATCAGGAAACACTAAGAAGCGTTTCGTCCAGTCGGCGTTCACTTGAAGTTTTAGTCAAAATATCAAGGAAGTAAAACGTCATATGCAGAGGTTCTGATTATTTGATTGCTACACTGTTACTATGTTTAGTAGCATTCCAGAATCTTCGAGCAACCCAAGGAGATTTAAAAATATTATAAAAACCCTAGATTTTCTGTGTTAGAATGAACCTTGGAGTAAAGTACTCGCATACTTTGCGTCTTCTCTCTCGTTGTTCAGGTCGCTATATAGTTCTAGCTTAGTGGTTACAGAATAGCTCAGGAAACGAACATAGAGTTCAAGCCGCAAGACTCATCAGTACGACACATCCATTATCTATCACAATAAAAATTTGAATTTTGTAACCCATGGCAGAATAACTGAGTGACTGATCACTGTTATTCAATCAAACAAATAGTTTTGGTAATTAGTTTATTTTGATCCACAATTACTAACATGACTTCTTTAATTACAAATTTTATCACGATTCCAGTTGATATCTTTAGCTTACAAAATGATAAACCGATCAGTCAGTTTTTGATCTTTATTAAAAAAAATGACTTTTACATCTATTCAATACATGTGTATGTACATATGTATACATATATACTTTTCTCTATTAAACTGTTTACAGGTATTGTCACAAATGATTATGCTGATGAAATTATTTTAAATCCTAGAGAAATAGCACGTCATTATTTAAAATCATGGTTTGTATTAGATTTTATCAGTTCAATTCCAATGGATTATTTGTATTTAATATTTAATAAAAAAGACCATTATAATCAATTTTTCAGTGCTGGTAAGTTGTTTTTGTTTTACTAAAACCGATTAATAATAAACTTATTTTTTATAAACGTAGCACGTAATCAATGTATTTAATGACATCTATAAAGCAACAAAGAAAGCTAGATCTCCTCGTTTTTATAGTCAAATAATAACCATATTTTATATAGCCCCTTAAAACGATTCTAATGTTAATGTAATAATTAACGTTACTATAAAATTAATAGCAATTTTAAACGTAGTTTTGAAGTATGTCGGAAATTATCTTCATTAATTTTATATATATATATATATATATGACTTCTCTTAATTACAATCTACTGCACTATTTCAAATGATGAATTCATATTTGGATATTTCAGTCCTAAAAAAGATTAGCCACTACCTGAATAGTTCAATGGTTACGTTTCAAACTGTAAAGCTAAATAACATATTTCCAGATCCATGATTTCCATCGGCTACCTTCAAGCACATAACATATACCTTATTGGAGAACATCTAACTTTGACCATCATAATTATTGTGTTCATATCAAGCTTATATAAACCCAACTCTGAAAAAGAATCAAACATTTCATTCTTACTTATATGAAATATTAAAGATTTTATCCGAATATTTAGTTTACGCTTATATAAACATCATTTTTTCAGTTTAAAAAAATGATGCTTAAATTATATAAATGGTTGATTGATATCGCATGATATTTAAGTTTAATGACAAACGGATTGTTCAAAGTTTAAATATGCTTGATTGAATTTTTACTTTATTTTTGGATGATTTTTATCATACGGAATAAATGTCTTTTTTTCTTTAAAAAGAACTTGAATTCTGTTATTATCAAATCAACAGACTAATTAATTTGTGTTGAAGGAGGAAAAAGGAGTTTTTTTTCATAAATGAGGATAGTTTGCACAAATGTATTTTAAAGGAAAAGCCTCTACTTTATAATTTATTTATCTATAACGTTAGGATCACATGTTAAGTCTGATATCATTCAATGAGAATATAATAATCCAAATGTTTTCTGTTTTATTATCTTGTCAAATTGTGTTTCTACAAATGAATGATATTACTAAATATTCGTTTTAAAATCATACAAAACATATATTCAGGGTTTTATGACTTTCACTAGCAGTGTATGTGACGGAACTTTTTTGGTAAACGATAAAATTAGATTTGTTCAATGTGTTTTAACTATGGTGCATATCAAACGATCAATGCGTTCAGTGAAAAAAATTCAAAGAATGCCTTTTACGAAATAAAATCAGACAGCAGATATACATTAAAACCCTAACGGCTTTTTTTTTAATGTTAATGTTTTAACTGAATGGTTACTAACTTGTCTAGACAGCGGTTTTCACATTAACCCCAAAACACAGAAAGAAGGTGACTTACGATGTCCTGTTCTATAAACATCACTTAAACATTATCATATTTTATTTGATAAAACAAGTGTTGGATTTCCATTCAAATACTAACATAGAATATTTCAGCATCGATCTCTTAGATTGCAAACACAGATATTTTTTAACTTACAAAAACATTCAATCAAAGTAATTAAACAAACTTCATACACCAAGTCTAGTATGTCAAGGAATAGATCAATGTGAGAATTTTAAAAATTAAATATTCCAAAATCTGCTTGTTTTACCGTCTTATCAGTCTCTCGATATTCGTTCATCAATCTATAGTCAAGTACGTGTCTAGCTAATTAGTGTAACTTAATACGATATCTACGACTAGTCAACGCTCAAAAATAAGATTCTATTGTTTGTTTCATGGAGTAGATGCGCTTCGTAAAATCACAACATTCATCAATATGTACTTAAATATCTCAAAGGTATTCTTTCTTGTTCACCAGTGTAATGTAGAGGTGGATTTATGCAAAATCATCAGTTCCTTCAATGCTATAGATCACTTGCATCTAAGAGTCTATCATTTTTAAAGATAAATTAAATGTTTAAGGTTTTTGCCAATTAAACATCATACATTGAACATCTATTTGATAACTGTGTGGGCGTTACTTTTTGATTAATAGTATTACTACTGTTTCAATTACCCGCTGTTACTGAATTTTTTTCCGTTTATTATTGATTGCATCAGATAATAGAAAAAAGACTATTATATTCACTTAATTACATGTCTCACAGATACCCACTGAAATACATCATGGGAACGAACACTTTAAACAACTACTTAATGAAGCAAAAAAAGAGCAAATTTTCATTGAACGATAAATAGAAATCTGAAAAAAAATTCAAACAAAAATTTCTTAACAATTGTCAGAGAAAAAATAAATTTCTCATAATAAACATTTGTGGAAAATAAGAAAAGTTTAAAAGTAAATTGTAAAAATGTTACTATTTATGGGAACAAAGTTTGAAGTTACTAAACAAGAATGTTATAAATTTGAACGAATAGTTTCACAATATTTGGGCGCCGATTTAATGTGAGTCATTAAAGAGGATGAATTTATTTGTAAAATCGCAGCGAAAGAATTTGAAGTCAAATATATTTTCCTTGAAAAAGCTTGGACCAGATTGCCAGGCGAAACGTTAGATTTACTTCAAATTCTTTTGCTGAGATTTTACAAATACATTCTTCATCTTTAAGAATGTTAGCAGTTATGATTTTTAATCCAACTTATTTGAATTCAATTGATTCTCTATCATTGAATCATACTACTGCATTCAAGAGAGTACGTAGTAATCCTACAATTAAAATGACTATATTTACTGTTTTAGATCATTGAAATCAGATTATTGTTTATTTGTAAGTTAGAAAGAACAAAAAACAAACAGAATCGTAGTCATTTCTGTCATTTTGTTCCATAGTGATTAATTTACTATGACTAATGTGATACCAGTTAAATGTTACATGAAGACAGCTTTTATGTAAAAAAAGAAAAAAAATTATAAATTAATAATATCACGAACGTTTGATCACTTGACCTAATTTCAAAATTTATTTCATCTGCTTCATCAAAAAAAAAAAAATAAAAATAAAAAAATAATGAAACGAAATTGAATAGTGATGAAATCGATTAAATACTATATAATATATTCATTATAGTATATTCAAAGGTTAATTAATTGTCACATTCATGCTTGGAAACAAAAACGGATTACAATAGTTTTTTGTTTTCAATAATGGATAAGAAAAATAGTTTTTTAAATGAAAAATAAATAATAAATCTACTGTAAATAATTTTTCAAAAAAAAATATAATTTTAGGGCGTTCATAAAGTATAATTACTGTTCTGTTTAGTTTATTACTGAAACATAATCGAAAATTAAACTTCTAAGATATAATAACTACCAGATTATATATTACTTATATCTACGTAAAATAAAATTTGTAATAGTCATGAGTATAAACTCACATGTCAATTATATTTATAAACTCTTAAAATTTTCTTATTGTTACGTCATTAGAATATTGGTGACGGCATCATTGGTAAAAGATAATATATTGTAGAAAAATTCAGTAATCATATAAAACAATACAACTGCCTCCATAGTAAAAATCTCAGTAACACAAGCCTAAATATAGTTCAAAGATCTGCTATGTTGGAATACACAACAGTTAAATAAATTATTGTTTTTCTTATTAGTAATTGTGTTATTAATTGAGAATAACCATATTGATTTTTGCAGAAAGCAATAAACTACAATGAATTCATCGTGTCCTATAATTATCCTCCCTCTTTCTTTGTTTAATTCATGAAAGTTATTTCAAATCAGCCTACATATCATAGTATCAATGAATATGAATAAGAGAACAATAAACATCGAAAAATTATACAGAATATATACAATAGTTTTAAATTATTATTACTAACATTTCAGTATTATGTGTCTGTGAAGTGAATGAATAAATAAAATAGATTCATTTTATTCATCTATGTTCCCTGTTCTCACTTATATTCAGCACAGTTTGTTTGAACATTCAACTATAAATCATATTGAAAGTGTAAAGTATGAACCAGAGGTTACAATAAAATATCTAATTGAGATCATGATTTATTAAATATTGATCAATAATATAAACTATATGGATAATATCACTTGGCACTGGAATATATATTTATAGTTCTTTTTTTCTCTATAGCAAAAGTGAATTGTATCGTTAATCTGTTAGAAGACTATCACTATATATCTTTTCAAAATACTTTTTTCACCGTTAAAGTTCATAATTTTTAGGCATATTTATTGTTTACTACTTTATAAAATAAATTCAATAATTAATAATTAAAATTTATTTAGAATAAATCAGTTTAAATGGTATCATAATGATCTTAATCTTGATATTTATCTGTAAGGTTTATATTGTTTATTTATCATTCATTAATTATTATTTTTGGAAGGTATATCCTCAATATTGTTCATTTAAATCACATTGTATAAAGTATTCCTATTGTATAAAGTAAATGAGTATTTAAATTACAAATATACTTATTTTAAATTTTTAAAAAATGGAAAACTACTGAAATAAGTAATATAAGCAACTTTATACTATACATTCATAATATAACAGATTACATAACTGAATTTTAAATCAAACTAAACATAGTTTAAGTTTATAACAACAGTAATAATAATAAAGTGTATGGTTATGTTATAATTTGTCGTCTGAATGCTTATTGTCTTTTCTCTTTTAATGCTACCTTTTGTATCTGGTCGTCGCTGACTGTTATGTCGGAAACGCTTATCACTTATACTCGGAACGAGAGATCTCTGCGATTCCCACGACACAAAAGTAAGAACACAAAGACTGGTATAAGTGATGATTCATTAAGCCCAAAATATGACGACGACAACTCTAGTAAAAAATACACCCATCTATTTATTGATTGTACACCCATTTTGATTAATAATTAGGATGAAATCACATATATGAAACATAGAGTTATAACAAATCACATACTGAGCATAGTGCACGTCAATGGAATACAAGAATATCGTATATTATACGGAATAAAATATCATACGAGAAAAGGAAACAAATACTACATTGAGTAATCACTACACTGAATCAAAACGGAAGTAATTTTGAACAAAACTCATAATAAGTAAATCAATCGAAAATTGACTTTTCATCATATCAGGTTTAAATTAGATTATATGTAAAAATCAGTACCCCAGTCTCTCAATTATACAAACGGTAAAAAATAGCCACTTATTTAGAACAAATGAAAAAAAATAAGAACGCTAACCAAATCAAGCAACCAAGATTTAGAGAAAAGAAAATTAAAAACCCAATCTAAAATTGCATGGCTCTCCTGAATATATGATGATTTATTATTCAAAGACGCTCATCTAACAACTCTCTGGTCATCTTCATACGAACTTATTCATAATATGGTATAATACATTTTTACATGATTTATGATTATATCTTATGTTTTTTCCAGTACTACTCTACTGTTTACCAACCGCTTACTCATCATAAAGAACAGATACTTAACATTACGCAAATATTTGTTCTTTATTGTTAGTTATTTTATGTTACCATGTTTGTAATTGAAGTAAATTCAATATCTTGAATAAACCTATAACAGATTACATATATTCAAATCATATAAAACATTAAATATACATCATAACTTTAACTGAGCAAACAAACAAATTATATGATTGAAATTAAATTTCTAACCATAGTTTATTCTATAATCTCATAACATCTATTCAATCCAGATTATATAAAATTGAATTACAAAACATTTTTTTAATTAATTCAATTATCTAAAACAGTTTGAATAGGTTAATAGTTTATTTCTTTATATATATAATTGTTATTTGTTTAAAACAAGTATTGTTTTTATTTTCCTTATTATAAAATCATAGGGCGTACATTGAGAATTCTACGTTTGGCTAAATTACTAAGCATGTTACGCTTATTAAGACTTACTCGTTTAGTACGATATGTCAGTCAATGGGAAGAAGTAAGAAATTTTTTTTTCAAAAATTTCTAATTTATCTGCTATTGTAATTAGTGCATTTTTTTAAAAAAAATTTCTAACATTGAAAGAATTAAAATGATTGAAAGAAATTTTCTTTATTTTGATAAACTTATAAGATTACATAGTCAATTGGATGGATATATGGATCCATTTAATCCGATCATGTAATTTTGCTTTAAATTCATATATGTATAGTGAATAATTAGGTTTTGATGTTGTAATTATCAACTTTTAATCACGATTCAACTGGTTATTCTTTATTGATAATATAAGCAGTTAATGTTAGAAAAACGTTCAATGAACTGTTTATATATATTATTCTTTGGCGTTAGTTATCTTGTTATTTGTTCATAAAACTTTATGAATATACATATCCAAATGAAAAATGTTTACAAATTACAAAATGTTTTCTGTCATATACTGAAAAATATAAATTACAAATATCCATTAATATTTGTATAAACATTTGGAATTCGATTTCATAACAACCTACACAATAGAAATGTTTAGAAGCCTTAATAATAGCTTAAGAGTATTAGTAGTTTAAGCAATTATCTTCAATACTTTGATTTTGTTTTGAGCGATATGTTTTTACTGTGATCATAAATTCAATGAAGTTAATGTAAAAATCCCGATTAAAAGAAATTCTATGAATGATCAATTGTGTTTAAGCTTTTAAAACTATATACATGAAAACAATTAAAAAGTATAACTGTATAAACGGATTAAAAACATCAACATAAGGGGGTGTAATTGACATTGAATGTTATTGAGATGACAAACCAAAATAAGTTAGACGATTAATGAAATAGCTGCTCAATGCCTCCAGGCTTTGGATAATTGTCATTAGCATTCAATAATTTCCATAAACCATGTACTGTAAATCATCATATAATCACTAGTCATTAACTTCGGGAGGAAACTCGCGGAGTACTAAGGAATAACTGGGACTAGATTTTAACCATGTTACGTGTGGTCAGGGGTTACATCACAAAAGGAGATAGTTACTCACTGTCGCGAACTGATTGAAATTAGAGATTTGCAGTCTTGGACACCATTTCATTGGTTGATAGGACAAGCGCTGGCGCGCAAGACGAAGTACTTTATTTCTAGTCACAATGAGTAAGTCTCGAATGGTCAGCAATGTGAAGCCCCATTCCAGGACAAAACAGCTGTTTGTTGTTTCGAGGTATCCGTCTGTGACCTAATTTAGGCTATTTCATAATCTCAATAGAACAATACATCATATGAAGATTGAAGTTTATTGTAGAACCACAAATATCAATTTTAAATAAATTTGCATATTAGTAACGCATAGGCAATCAAGAACTTAATCACCTTTCAACTGTTGTATACTTAATAACTGTTCAATTGAGTTATATATTAAAATAAAAAATCATGATCATGACCACAATTCACTGAAATAAAGTTCTCATTAGAAATATAATGTACTGAGAGAAAAATTATATTCTGCAGTGGATTTCAATAGATCAAACTATCGTCTTTATGTCGTTGAAATCATTAATCGATCAATCTTAGACCACCAATAAAAATCTGGAAGCACCGGACGACTGTTTCACCCCAGTAAACGACATACCTATAACCTTCTTGGTATTATCATTACCGTTATTTTAAAATTATAAGAATGGTCATTTGTATTATCTTTTTGAAAAACTCTGTAAAGCTATAATAACAATCAGTTTATTTATGATTTCAAATAAAACGAAAGGAATTTTTACTAGATATATGTGTTTATATATAAAGATTTTCTTTCAGAACAAGCCAACATCGTTTTTTCTAAAGATCTTGTTATTATACAATTCAATAATATTGTATGACCAACGAATATAAATACATAGAAAACAAAACAATGTTTATTAAAGACTAATAAATACTTTTAATGAATGAAATTACATCGAAATCATTCACCTATACTAGAAATCTTTCCTACCATCTCACTAATAAATATGAAAACTAAAGGAATTAGATAAAGAAAAGAGACTATAACAGATTAAATGAACGTTTGAAAAGTCAACGCATAAAATATTAAGTGAAATTATTTATTTCAAAAAATAAAATCTAATTAAAAACGTTTTAGTTGAGAAAGTATTCTATAAAATTTACTATATTTTATAGTAAGAGAAAAGGTATAATTTACTTACTCTTGAAAGAAAATTGTATAACTATTTCAGTTATGTAAGTCAATTGGGTTTCATAGAATCTTTTTAAATCCAATTTAATATGGAATAAATCCACTTGGTATTGTTTGTTTGAATTTCACCATTGATGCTTAGAGCTGCTATTCATGAGTCTCTTATTGGCATGTATGCATCCTGTGTGGATTGACTCGATATAGCCTTAATTCACTAGCATTATAAGCAAAGATGGATAGTGGCTAGCAATAGAATCCAGGACACGCGTTCCGTCGTATTTCAAACTCGTTAGCTGGATGTACCTGCATCTGAGAGTTGGTGTTCACTCTGTGAGTCAAATCCGCCATCGCGTTGTCCCCTTAGCTATTGAGTTCTGGTAATAAAATAGGACAAAACGCTCTTTCCGGATTCCACTGTTAGCCACTATCCAACTTAGCATATAATGCTTGCGAATTAAGGCAATATCGAGGCAATATGCACAGTATGCACATATGTCATTAGGAAACTGACCAATTATAGTCCCAAATAACAATGGGAAGATACAATAAAACAACATCAAGTGAAATAAAACTTCATCCGATTGTACATTCGAGTGGCTATCAGGACTCTAGTAGCTAAGTGGGTATCGGTACTGGGCTTGAGTCCAAGAGTGAAAATGAACTCTGAAATGCAGGTACAACCAGTTGACGAATCTCAAATAGGACGAAACGCTCGTCCTGAATTCCACTACTAGCCACTGTTCATCTCTGTATTTATTATGAAATATTTTACAATTATTTGTAAATATATTTCACATTTAAATAATTGTTTATATTTCTCAAAATATATTAAAAATTTACATTCATCAATAGAATATATGTTTTAATGTATAGTAAGTATATAAAGATATACTAAATAATCATATGAAATTTGTAAAAATCTACTGAATTAATTTTTAAAGATTCTTAGGAGAAGAAATCTATTTATATAAGTAGTATTGTAGTGAACAAGAACACTGGTGGTGACAATCGAATGTGTTTAACAAAAAATTACAGGACTTGTTAATAAAATCTAACAATCATAATGTAAATGCTTAATTTGCAAAATCTCCATCAATTGTCTCAAAATGACTCAGATTTCATTGTTTTTGCATTTTCATACAAATTGCATTCTGTTCCCATTCTTTACTAATCGATCCTCTTGTCTCTCTGCTGCCAGACATTCTGTTCATAAGTAGCGTCACATACTACTTATGTCAATATAAGTAGCACACACCACAGTATTTTTTTCAAGAAAAACACATAAGAATGCTTAAATTATAGAAATATGATTTGATTTAATTAAATGTTTATATAAAAAAATTTATTTTTTCTTCTTTAGTTTTTAAATATTGCAAGCAAATTTATGGGAATATTCAATTTAGTTTTATTAATGTTATTACTTGGACATTGGAATGCATGTTTACAATATTTAATTCCAATGCTTATGGATTTTCCTCCAGATTCATGGGTGAAACGTTGTAAATTAGAAGTGAGTAATATAATGTTCTCGTATTTTTTTTGTTAATTCAAGTGAATGTTTATTGAATATGGAATAGTATTAAATAATTTTTTTTGTGTGTATGTATGTCTTGTTTTATCAGTGAAGTATAAAATGTATTTAGGACATTTCAAAGAGTCCCTCTTTTTTTATTCACTTCAAATGTATGTTTTTTTTTCCACCCGACATTATTTAGACTGTTTTTAATTTGTCAATACTCTTAAATTGTATTATAAATTATTATAAAGAGATTTGATGAAAGAAGTGTGAATATCACATCTCGGCATCAATATAGTACTTATATACTTTTTTAGAAAAAATCAATACTTTTTTCATATAAAGCTGGAAATCACTGTCGGTAAATTTCTAACTAATCACATAGGTCTGGACAGTCGGATAGTTTACTTTATAGAAGTTTTATAAAATCAATATGACTAATGTATTGATATGGAGTTTTATACATGACTGATCCAATAATGTTGTAATTTTAATTATTAGTTTCAATTTGAGTCTAATATTTAAACATGTTTTAGGCCAGATTATTTGTCAACTACATAACCATTACTTTTTTTCAAATTTAATCATCAAGTTCTATTCGCTTATTATTTCTATAATGTAATGTAAGATATGATTACTTGGAAACTTTATCACTTCTATAAATGAACTGCTCAGAACACTGTCATTCAGTAAACGTTGATAAACTTAGGAATTTCGAAAAGTAAACTAATTACCTAGATATATATCTTAGTTTAAATAAAACTTAAAATACCTTGTGATTCACTCTATGGTTATAACATCTGACTTGATTATTTGAAAACTATCTGAGAAATTGAATAATCGAATTGTATGCATGTGCATTATAAGTGATTACTTATCTACTATATTCATTATACAAATTTGCTAGAACTTTCGTAAATTGTATTCCATCGGTTATTGCTGTGAGATAGTCATATCTCTAAATCAGCATTGAAAAACTGCGTTGCATTCTTGAGACATGATTAAGGTTCATAATTCCACAGACTACTTTCTGTAGAAAAATACACATTTATGTTCGTCCCCAGGTTACTAATACATACTTTAGATACCTTCCAAAACTAATCTTTCCAAAGGAAATAATAATGAACATCATGCCATTTTCTAAGACACTTGAGTAATTTACATAAATAGTAATCATATCAGCACGATGTCTCATTATAAGCGGAGATTGTTCATCGTTTGGTGAACGTTCTATTTATGCTCCGCTTAACAACATATTGAAATAAAGACCAATCTAGTAAAATATAGTGAATACTTATTAATATCTGATAAATATAGGGCGGATCAAGATCTGTTGAAAAACCATGAGTTTACTGAAAGTCACTCCTCAAGACACAACATGAAGGACGAGCTTTTCTGCTTTAGTCTTAGACTACAAATCATGTAATCAAGTATAAATAGATTGATAAGGCAGTTAATACTAATAAACTGGAATATAAAATTTCTTTTACACATATCTCCAATATCAAGAGTCAAAACACCTGTCTGAAAAAAATTGCACTTGCTTGAGAATAAATCTATTTTTTATCGTTTAAACATTAATGATGATAACAATAAATAAATCACTTGGTGTTGCTTTCTTGTATCTTCCGATTGTTGTTTTGCACTGCATTTGATCAGTTTGTTGTTGGAATATTTGTATACTGTGCCGATTGCCTCTATACTGTCTTCTATCACAAGCTTTATAAACAAAGATGGATAGTGGATGCATATATACTAACAAGAGACTGGTCAATTGCAGACTTAAGAAGCCCATAAACCTCTAAATTGATTGATCCTACACTGTTATGTACTTTTACTGATGTCACAGACAAATCGAGCTTTAAGATGTCATTTCAAACCATGTGTTCTGACGATTTACAAGCCAAATCTTTTATGTATAATCAAATACAATTTTAAAAATGTATATTTCCTAAGCTCTTTACAAAATAGTTCGCTGATGCCAATAAACGTATGACAGAGACAGTATTGTGGGGGCAACCGAGTGTATTTTAGAACATTACAGAATATCTTTGTAAAATCTGAGAAACATGCTGTAAATACTTCATTTGCAAAATATTCATTCAGTGTCTCAGACTTTGTTGTTCCTTCGTTTCCATACCAATCACTCTCTGTAATCGTTCTCTGCTTTCCGATTTTCTCAACCTTCTACCGCCAGGCAATCTACTCTCCATTGGTAACGCATATTACTTTTATCTGTTGACAGCAGTAACACACATCATAGTATCATCTTGGATCAGATCATTTTAAAGGCAAATAATCTGTTTTACCGGATAGTTGGAAATTACGGTAAAATAATTGATGAAACGTATAGTGTGTTGAAAACTAAATAATATCAACACTAGATGAAGGTTATCATGGAGTCATCAACTACAGAAAGAATTAAAAATTTTGAATTGTGTCACTCCATTACTGTTTCGTCTAATCGAGTTTAAAAGTATAGAGCTTTACAGTATTCATTTTATAAATAAACATTTAGTTATCTTCAGGTGTTCACTGAGATATCATGGGTAATTTCTCAGATGTTTACACAAATTTATCTTGAGTAAAACAAAATTTAATCACCTTGTTACTCTCATGATTTATTTAAAATAAAAATGCAACCTATTTAATTCTATTGTTTTCTTATTAGAATGCAGACTGGTTCCAACAGTATACATGGGCATTGTTCAAAGCTATGTCGCATATGCTTTCCATTGGTTATGGTCGTTTTCCACCTACAAGTATTGGTGAAGCATGGATAACAATTGTTAGCATGATGAGTGGTGCAACTTGTTATGCATTATTTGTTGGTCATGCTGCAGCGCTAATTCAGTCATTCGATACGTCTAAAAGGCTTTATAGGGAGAAGGTGTGTTATGTTTGTATCTTGTTGTATAACCAATTAAATTTTTATTGCGCGTTGAGGATAAATAAAGAAAAAACAAAATCTGTGAACTGAAGGATAATGTACTTTATATAACTTTGGTAATTTCAAAATTCCCATAAAGTAGTCCTTAGAAATAAATATTTTTGTGAGAACAAAGCGTTCAACAGCTTCACCATGATGGTATACAATTAGTTAAAAATTGAGATTGTTTAGTTTTTTTGATTAGGTGTTGGCTAACTACAAGTTCAGAACAAATAACGCTATTTATCGATTTTGTTAGATTTTTTCTCAACTATCCTACAACATAATCACCAATCATATAGGATAAACGTCGTTAAAACGAACTGCATAATCATAATTGCAATTCGCCTATTTTGGATCATATTCACATGATTTGTTTCACTACATTTATTACAACTCGATACCTAACAGCTCATTTTTCCACTCCCTTTGAAATGACCCTTTAAATTTACAGATGACATATTTGGACATATTATTTTGGGCGTAATCAATACTAAATTTTACTATCTAAACAAACGTTCTAATTAAATTCAATCACAATATAAATATGTATGCTTTATTTTCGTCACTGTAATACGGTAGTTATGAATTTATAATTGTAGAGCATCGTGGTGAAGTTATTGAACCCATAGTTCACTTAAATAAGCGTTCTTTCCAAAACATACTAATGTCTATATATATATATATATATATATATATATATATATATATATATATATATATATATATATATAATTACGATCCTGTCGATACAAATTTCACGTGAGACGATCCTTGACTGATAAAATAATTTTTCTTACAACAGACTTACAGGAAAATGATTGGACAGATTGCCGATCTGAATGAACAGAATAGAAATATTTATTTATTTCATTATCAAACTGTAATTTTTTTTTAATGCATTAGTATAATTTATAATTTTCAAGATCAATAAAAATTACGCAGATCGAATGAGATGAAATGAATTTGTGGAATTTTTTGTAATTATACAAGAAATAAAGAGAAGGATGGAGAGATAAAATTCTATAAACAATCAACAAATAAATCATTTAATTAATTTACATTAAAAAATATCGTTAATTTTCATGATTTCAACACTCCATTGAGATGAAAACGACCACCAAACAAACTTGTTTTAATGAACACAAATGAACACGTTTTATGCAAAAATATTCCATCATTAATAAGATTTCAGTTGTTTTTCTTTTACATAGTTTATTTGACAATTATAAATACAATTTAATAGTTGAATTCATGATTTGATCTAAGCTAGACCACTATTGAAAACTTGAAAGGACTGGATGGCCGTTTCATCCTAGTATGAGACTCTTCAGCAGTACATATCCTCGATCCAGCATGTTGGACTCTAAACGCTTAATCTTTAGACCACTGAGCTAGCTGGCATCCAACGTTGTTAATGTCTAACTCCAACCTATCCATGATCATGAGCAACCCATCATTACAAATATACTAATAAAGACAGTTTCATAATAACTACATATAAAATCTGTAAGATGATATAACTTAAAAACTCTAAATAACAGTGTTGTTTTGCATGATCTAAATTATTGTATAGAGTAAATTGATCACGAAGTGATAAAATTAACAGCAGAAATAATATAAACTAAACTATGAATCGATTAGAATTTTGCTTTGGATATGATAAAAATATAATGACTATTTTCTTCCTGAGTTAAGATGATGCTTTATGAAAGTATTAAGAAACGATGAACTATTATAACATTTATGCAAACAGACTTCACATTAAAAAAGTTAGATTTACCACCACACGAATGATTCGGTAGTCAACAGGACTTTTGTATATACATATTATGAACTCAACTGTTTGACGTCATAATACAGGGTCACAAGTTCCAACTCAGAAACTATAATAGTATATCGTAAAAACATTAGGAATCATTTAAAAAATCAAGAGATTGTGCAGCTTAGGGGAATTTGAAAATGCTTTCTCTGAGATAAAAGGTTTAATAATGAAGTTATTATTCTGTTCCTAAACAACGTTATGGAGATGTACGTCAGATAGAAGTAAGCAACTGGAATTTCATCACGATTCACTGAAAGCTTGTTTTGTCAAATGTAATTCAATCGGTTATTGTCTTTTCATCCTTTACATATCAATTCCGATTGACTTCTTCGATGAATTAGTTATTGACTTAGTTCTTTCCAGTTTCTCTAACTCAGGTAATAAGACATATAAACAACTGTGGATATATGTTTGACAGTGAAAATTGTCAAATCTTAAAAAGGGATAGCACAAAGAGGATCAAAGTTTTTATTGACTTCCTAATCAGGTCAGTCACAATAAATGTACTGAAATAACTCCAAAATTAAAAATCTACTTAAATTAATAGAAATTGAAATGTACCGAATAGGTCAGGAGATTCAGGAAAAAGTTCAGTGATCATATGAATAACAACTAAATAATACTGGATATTTAAAATACAATGTAGGATATTTTGTTGATTTACTTGCTTACTAAAATCCAATTACTGAATTACAACAATTTAATAATAATGTACGCAGTGAATCCTTCATTGACTGACTTATTGCTTACATTTTTTTACACGAATTTTTTTCTTATTACTTAACAAAGTAAACGTTTTGAACGTTAGTACTATAAGTGATGGATGCTAATATAGGAAATTTAGGTGAATCATCACCTCTATGATTTGCACAAACAACACAACTAGCATGGGTTTTATGAAGCTTGAGATTTGAATGGTTAACTATCATCTAGTAGACTCGCGGTTCAAATCCAATTTACGATTATCTTATTGTGAAGTAATGTTTTAATCACGTATTTTGAACATATTTAAAATGTTATATACAGTAGTATCAAACATTAAACACTACTGATATTTTACAACCTAACTTGAAATAATAGAACTACATTAGTCAACTTCTTTTTTGTTTTAATCTTTGAGATTACCATTAGAAAAAAAACACATATGGGAATCATTTGAAAAATATACTGTTTTCTTTTAAGGTATATCATACAACGTATACTATCCAAAGATAAATGCTTGAAAGGAGATTAGATGAACTATTTCCAAGTGTTTATTTAAAAATTCATTCCATTATTAAAGAAAAAAATAACCATTCTTCAAACATATGTTCTTCAATATGTGTTAACAAAATTAAAACTAAAAAACATTCCAGATAACAAACATAAAATCACACATCTCTTTTTTTTTCTTTTCAGAAGCTTAAACAAACGGTTTATCCCTATTGTGTTAATGGTTCACAAATATTTTGTCTACCATAAAATTTAAAATATATATTATACCTTTCGACAGAAATAGTTTATTAAGGCAATTATTTTTTATTGAATTATATGGCATAAAATCTATTTATTACAAATGAAACAGACAGTTACCAAGTATTCGTTGAAATTTGTTCCTTTCACGTTATATAACTCAAAGTGATAAAAAGATTTTGACAGAAAAAAAAAGAAGGCTCAAGTCAAAACAGAGTTAAAAAAACATTCACTTTAATACTCAACTTTATAAAATAATTATTTAACTTGCAAATACATGTGATGGTTTATGATTATAAGTTTAGTTAAATCCATATCAGAATGTAAACACATAAAGAATCATGTTGAATTTCAGTTTGAGATTTATACTGTCATTGGGTTTTGGAATCGCAAATAGAGGAATAGATATAGTCAGTCACTTCTTATACAGAAATGCTGAAATCCAAGAAGTCAACTAAGTTGTGGTTTAACTTAATCTTTTCTAATAGCTCACATTGTTTATTTACGAACAGGATACTTATATGCAATCCTGGGCTAGCAAACACTAAATATATTGTCATGAACATCGTGATAATTGCTAGAGCCTGTGCAATGTATAGTGGTTTCTGTTTGATGATTAATGATAATCAAAAGGGGCTTTGTGGAGATTTTAGTAAGTTCAATACTTGAAATCATGAGTCATTTGAAGCTAGACCACCATTGGAAACCTGGAAGAGCTGGATGGCCGTTTCGTCCTAGTATGGGACTCCTCGGCAGTGCAAATCTACGATCCCACTCTTCGCGAGATTCCAACCCAGGACCTATCAGTATCGCGCGCGAGCGCCTAACCACTAGAGCACTGAGCTGGTCGGCATCAAAAGATGTTACTTTCTAACCTTAAACAATCCAGGGAACTGCACCACCGTACACTATTGTCTGCAGTGGGCTGATATCTTACAACAGACCTGGTTGCACTCCACTGGTCACGGCTTCTCACTGGAACTCCAGGAAATACCTTTTGAAGTCAGTTACTAGTTAGCAGATTTTTATTATCAGAAGGGGTCACTGTGTATCTAGTCAGGAGGTAACTAGGTTAATTATTGTGTATTTATTTTCACCTTGATTTGCGATACGCATCATAACGCGATATAATATATTATCTGACAAATGATGAACTCTTTTTTCTAGTTATTTAGATTTTTCTTATTCTCTAAACTTCTTAAGCCTTCATTACGTCGGATTGTAAAGAAAACTAAATTTTACACTTTCACTGTCATTACGCCACTTCCTTAGTGTAAAAAAAATACTGAGTTAAGATCTTAAAAGTTCGTTACCTGAAATGATCTCAAAATGTTCTTAATAAAACTGTCAAATTTTATTGTGTTGGTCCAATTTATCAAGTACGACTTGGACAAACATTATCAATATTCATTTAGTAAAGTTGTAATATTAGAGATTTATAGGTCAGTCATGAGTGATTTCTACATATATATTCATAAAACATCAGTAGTATTAGTGGTTCGGCTTTAATTTACTAGTATAGCACACTTTAAATACTGTTGATGTGATTTCGATAGATATGTATCGTCTTCCCAAATATTTATATTCCCAATTTTACTATTTTTGTTAATTACTCCACTAAATCTAACAGTAAACATTTTCTCCTCCTAAACTAACAAACTTGATAAAGGATCAGATTTATTTTCAAATTTAGTACTATTAATAACAATAATAATATTGTTAAATATGATACTCTTATGAGATTGCGCTTATAATATAATTTTGAAGAAGAAGAAGAGCAAGAAAAGGAAAAAAACATTCAATCAAAATCTAGAAAAAATAACTCTTTTATTAAATCTACATTTACTTACCTTGTTTATCTTTCCGACACTCAAATTACATTAAATTACATCATATAAACAAAATTTCCCATGACATTTTGACAATTAATAAAAAAAAATAATTTTTTTCATCAAAAAGTTTCTACATGACTAAAAGGTCTTTATTAATGTGTTAATTCATTCAATGTAATTACTTTTAAATAATAATAATACTAGTAATGATAATAATAGTAATAATATTGATAATAACAATAATGATAATAATAATAATAAGGATACTAAAACGAAAACTGATTTTCTATAAATACCAAATTATTCTGATTCTTTTTGATGTTATTGTTAATAATCATGTTGTGATACAGTTGAAAATGATTAAGTTCTTAGTATAGAATAAAACTGAATATGCATTTATGTATATTCGAATAAATGTAAATTTCTTTATAATTAATACCTAAAGCACTTATTACATGTTATCTAAAAAACATTCAGATAATTCATTATCTTATTAAATGAATGGTTTATAAGGTAATGTAATTCTCTATATATGGTGGAGTTTTGTTCACTGAGCTGGATGGTTTGGTCGTGAAGCTTTCATCTCCACCAAAATTGTCCACCTGAGCTACAAATCTTCTCCACCATCTCAATTCTCTAATTGATTGAGATAATAATACTAATAATAGTAATAGTAATAATAACAATAATATCGTTTTGTACTGTTTAATATCATGTTTCAAAAAATCTACCTCAAGTAGTTAGATTACGGTTACATAATTCTCTAATCTGTTGTTTGTTTGTTTCTTTTCGAATTATTGCTAATACATTGTAAACCCTTAAGTTTTTTTTTGGATTATAAAAACCATCATATACAACTAATTTACTATTGTAGGGATTAGTTCAAGTGAATATTACATAGAAGTGTTAATTGTTCATAAGATTAAGAAGTTTATTTTGATGGAAATCAATCACTTATTATAAAGAATGTTCCGATTGTTTTATGTTCATCTCGTTTTTTCTTCTTTTAATTATTTATTTAGTTTAAACAAGTTGAAGAATATATGGCTTATCGTAAACTTCCAAGAGCATTACGTCAAAGAATAGCAAATTATTATGAACATCGATATCAGGGAAAAATGTTTGATGAAGCACAAATATTGAATGAGTTTTCTGAATGTCTTAGAGAAGTAAGTTCAATTAAAACTTTTTAAATGTTGTAACTTAAAGGTGTCAAGTTTCTAATAATTTTGACCAAATTTCAATCAGTCTTAGATGACATACATACATTCTGTGCGTATTGCCTCAATGAAGTCAATATTTACAATTATTTATAAAATAAACGGATTGTAGCTAGTAGTGGAATCCAGAATTCGAGTTTCAGGTCATTTAGGACTCATCAGGCTAATGCACATGAATCCCAAAGTAGATATTCACACAAAATAATTAAATCAAGACAGGTTTTTACAGAATGTACATATGTCAAATTATGGGTGATGAGAATTCACTCAAGACCATCAACAACACGCTAATCCAAAAGCGATTAAAAATTAAATTAGGACTAATTTCCGCTACACGCGTGAGTGAGACCATTTGAACTCATTAGATTGTAGATAGCTAGTCGACTGTTAGGAACAAAGGGTAATATGTTTTATTCCAGAAGTGAACTTCAAATCTGAGATGCAAGTACACAGAGCTGAAGAGTTCTAAATAAGACAAAACACGCGGCTTGAATTCTACTTCTATTAACAATCTATATATTCCAAAAAACCAACCTATTTACATTGATAACATTAAATTATGATTCCATGGAGTGATTAGTCTATTAAAGCGCTAGTTTCCACTTTCACTTAAACATTCTCTTTAACTCCTGTGACACACTAGATCAAAGTAATTACTTTGCGTGATTTTGAAATCTGGTCACTGCAAACTTATGATCAGGTAGTATCACATTTGGAATTGTTCGTTAGTCTATTAATGAAGATCATTTTAAATATAAATACTTAGAAAATTAGATATGAGGTAAAATAACTGTATGGATGGATTATATTACCTGCAGTAGACTTAACTACAGAACCCCATACTTTGGGTTATATTCAACAGTAACTAACTATTAGATAGGATCGACAATTTTCAACCGAAAATTTTGTCTACATTATATGGTTGAAGTGGTTAATGAATGCTTGCAATTATTTTTCTATAAGATGACTATGTTTCACTTAAATGAATTCATTTAATCGTTTAATGTTAGAAAAAACGAGAAATTCTGTGGTTTGAATTATATGGCTTTAGCTCATGAATAGTACAAAGATTAATCGTCAGATTAACACAAATACATGTACATATACGAAAGTGTATCAGCAGTGCATTTTGTTGCCCTGAATTAATTCATATAGATTTCTATCCATCAAAAAACCTCATGGTATTATTCTATTGGTCTACATTCTTGCCAGTGTTATCAATCGACAGTTAGCAGTAAGGTGTATTCATATTTCAATAATTAGCAAATAACGACTAGATGTTGAGTCAATTAACTTAGATGCTTCATCGTAACCCCAAAGTCAGAATTAGAGTCATGACAATTATAATGCATAATACTCTTCAAATGAATAAGGGTAATAATGAGTTATAATTTCGAGTATTGTGGCTGAGATACCAATGATTATTTTTAAAGATTATGCTTATAATGACTGTAGCTAGATTATTGTGGTATTTTCATGAACTAATGATTCTTCTGTACTTGATTGGGCGCTGGTTACGATTCCCAAATATAATATATTCATTCGTGCTCATTTAGTTCTACCTGTCTTAAATTGCACTAGTTATTCCATTAATTCTAATACTTCTAATTATCATACGAATTAAATTCATGTGTCTGTCCTGCTGTGTATTGGATGTAAACTCTGTGTGATCTCGAATGCACTTATTAGCATTGGAATGAACAACTGAAATTGGAACAGACTCACCTGATTCCTGAATTGGTATTTGATCGACATGTCGGTTGTGTGTACTGAAATCACACCATAAATTTCCCAGCATTCTTTACCACTATCCCCATGGCAAGTTCAAGATCATCTCCACGATAATATGTAATTTTTGCAAACTCTAAGCACATCATAATCGAACAGAGAATCCTTTCTTTTTGATAAGTTTGATGGAGTCTCTTTTGTTACAAAATGTTCAGCATCTATATATTACAGTAGAAATGTGTCTACTACCCTCTCGAATCTATCAAATGTTGGAGAAGCGATGGAACTAATAGCAGTTTATAACGTTCTGACAAAGTTTTCTGCCTGACCATAAAAACAACGGTGCCTAACAGCAGTGAACAGATGTCTGCAGCATATATCTTTCAACCGGGTAGTTACTACGTCTGAAGCTAAATGGGAGCAATTATCAGTCACTAACACCATGAGAACCCTTTCTCGGCTAAACATCCTTATTAATGCTTGGATTGTGAAGTCAGAATTTAGTGAAGTTGTGAAAGAACTTTGGGTCACTTCGAAAAATAATCAGTGACTACAACTGCATATTATTTGCCAAGAAATGAACCAAGATGGTCTGCACGAATTCTCTGCAGACCTCAGACGATACTGGCCATAGAGTCTACTTTGGAGGATGATTTTTTGACCTATGACGTCTTCCACAATTGTTTGTTGTACGTCATATATCCGCATCTATCTTTGGCCACCAAAAAGTGAGCCTCACCAAGGACTTCATTTCCTCAACACTTAAATGTCCACTATGAAGATGTTCAAGAACAGATTTTCGCAATGAAGGAGAAATATCAACACGATCAGGGCTAGTGGATAAATGATCTCGTTTTGAAAAATAGACAGGAAATCTACGTTTCAGATCAGCATTCGAACCTTTCCGTATGGGATTGACTATGTATTCAAAGTACCTACGAGTTTCTCTAATAAGATCTGGACGTCTCACTGGCTAAGGTAGCACTAAAAAACAGTCTGAAGAATTAATAGGTCTATCTTGTAATGATTGTCGAGAAATGTAGTCAACGTGTTGAATTTGTTTGGAACTCATGTGCTGAACCTTATAGTCACAGGCCCAAAACAAAGCTAATGCTTCTCGCTGAGTCTGTGAATAACCTTGTTCAGTAACAGTAAGTTTGTGTGAAACACAAGTAACTGGTCTACCTTCCTGCTCCGAAACTGCGCCAATATCCAAAGGTGATGCATCAGTAATAAGTATAGAATGTACACTAGGGGAGCAAGTTCGAAGAACAGATTCAATTTGAGGGAACTTTAGTAAACTTCGTAAGAATGACTTGTTCCTCAACCCGTTTGAATAAATTAGATGTCAGAATATTAAATAAATGATTGGCACGACAAGAAAAATTAGGAATAAAATGGGAACAGTATTAAGAGCACCTAATAGTGAACGTAGTTCCGTAAGATTTCTCGCAGATGGTTCATTTGTTAGTGGAACTAGTCTCTTTATATCTGGTTTAAAACTATTACGGTCAACTAAATACCCAAGATATTCAAAACTAGATACACAAGATGAACACTCAATTGGATTTCTTGTTATATTTCTTTCAACTAAACGACTTTTATGACAAAATGTCTCATATTCAGATAAGACGTCTATAACCACATTATTTTAATGTATCAACTTTAAGCTTCATAGATTTAGTCACCAGATATCTTGTCAAAAGTTCGATATCAAATTACTGACGACATTAATTAAATCTGATAATGAATTTGAAATTCTGCTTAATATTAAAATTACTTATGGCCGTAAATGGTTTCATCACTAAGCGTTATAACTGTCAAGTGCATCATAGAAGATACAATCATTAAATCAGGATACAGAAGTCTGTTTATCTCTTCCTAAATGCACATAATAGTATAATACTGAATAAGTATAGGTACTGGACGGAATTACTCTATGACACAACTATTATAAAATAATGAAGTTCGTGTATGCTGTTTCAGTCAACAACTGCATAATCATTCAAATGAATTATTCTCTTTAAACGATTTGATAATTGTAATGTCTATGCAATATAAATTCATGTATGGACATTACTATAGAATTTTAAAGTAGAACAAAATAGCTTTCTATCACTAATTAAAATAAACAAAGTATATGTCAAATTTATATTGAATACTGTAATTTTATTGATTTTAAACTAACATTCACTATTCACTTGGTATTGTTTTGGCTTGTATCTTCCCATTGAAATTTAAGACTGCAATTGATCAGTCTGTTATTGGCATATGTGCATCACTGCTTAAAAACGTTTGTGAATTAAGGCACTATCAAGGCATACGTGCAGTATGCACACATGCCAATAATAGACTGATCAGTTGCAGTCTTGAATCTCAATGGGAAGACAAAAGCCAAAACAATTCCAGGTGAATTTAAAATTCACCCCATTGCACAAGCAAGTGGCTATCACGATTCAGTAGCTGAGTGGATAACGCGATGGCGTTTGAAGCGAATGATACTGGGTTCGAGTCCCAGAGTGAACATCAACTCTGAGATGCAGTTACATCCAGCTGACGAGTCCTGAATTCCACTGCTAACAACTATCCATCATTGCTTAAAAAAATAACATCCACTATGATAAGTACTAATAAATATTATTTTGAAGAAAGAAAATGCATACATTATAAAACAATCATTCAAATGTACACCAATCGTATTGTGAATTGTTTAAAAATTACATAACTATTAAAAATTAATCAAGCACTTAATTGATCTAATATAATCACATAATTATGAATAATATTGATATTGTATCCGATCATAAATAATCTTGAACTGAACTATTTATTAATCATTTTTAGAACAAAAAAAAACAAATGAAGAATTCACTTATAAACTAACATAAAAGAACATAAACGGAAAATATCATTTTACTCCTTTTCAGAATAATTATTCATGTACTTTGATTTTTTTTCCCTACAACATTAAAACTTTTTAACCGTTTCTTGAATAAAATCTAACTTAATAAGATTATATATTTTTAAAAAAATAATAATCATTAAGGCAAAACTATCCTATTAGCACTGGACAGTAACAAAGCAGTTCTAGGGGGGGGGGAAACAATAATGAATTATTACTATTATTATTAATAAAACTAACAAAACAAACTTTCACCTTAAACTGTTCTCCTTCATTCATGTATGTGTCTTAATCAAGTCATGATATAATAGATAATGTTCTATGATAAATAATAATAATGTTCTTAACTTTCAGTCTTAGTAAACAGTAAATTACTTTTACTTATTAGAGAAAAAACTAGAACGACAGAACATATTACTTAAGTCCTTTAAACGAAATGAATATATACTTTAAATGTGAGTGTGCGTTTTTGTTGAAGAAAGAAACAAAACAACAACAACAAAATAGTTCATGTCAGTTTTATCTCCTTATAAAAAATAAATAACACGAATAGAAATTGAGTAATGAACTAGGAAAAGAAACGATGTCTTTTTATTCTTTATTTGAGTAAATCCCTTTGATGAAATGGACAATTTAACAAATGAAAAGGAAAATTAAGTTTTCTTTTTTTTTTCATCTTGATACGTTCTATTTCTCATCCGTTTTTACTTTACATTGGCCTAATGATGTTCTTAATTATTATTTGATTGTTTGTTTTTTTCTTTGAAATCAGTTTTGATACTAAACTTTGTCCAACATTACTAATGAAAGATAATTAGAAATAATAGTTATTTCTCAACAAATTATATCTGACCGCTCATACATATTATTTAATTGCGTAGACTCATAATATATTTGAACTCTTACTGCTATAAATCTCGTTCAAATCAACATTAATTATCAATCTACACACAAACAAATGTCTGAAAGGTTAAGTATAACCCATAAAGCATACTTTTTGAGGTTGACATTTTTCTCAATAAGAATCGAGATTATTTTATCACACAACAAATGTTGAACATTAACTATATGGTTCACTAGATTCAGAGAAAATTATAAAAATGCCCGGTTTTCTAGGATTTCGAGTGTTTTCTTTCTCAAGTTTTTCAGTTTCTTTCTCATCTAAAAGATTTTCTATATGGTTAATTCCTTATGGGTCTGTTCTTTTTGTTTATTATTCAATGAATGAACCGGCAAAAAATTAAATGTGCTGTTTCTTCTTATCCTAAATAATCTCAAATAGAAATTAGAAGAGTCAATTATCCAAGGCGTTTCATCACATTAGTTCAATGTAGCATAATTTACAATCCCACAGTTGCTTTATAGGCAATACAGACAAGTTTCGGCTTTGTCTTATTACAATGCTAACTAACTTACGCCTGTTACCTTTCATGAAGGACCACAGGCCAATCACCAGCACTCTACATCTAACTTTGTCTTAGGCAGTGATTTCCAACTCTTTCCAATCGCTATTCATTCTTTTCAAATCTGCTTCGAATTCTCAGTGAAATGTGTTCGTTGGCCTTCGTCTTTTCCGCTTCCTTTCAGGATTCCAAGCTAGCACTTGACTCATGACACCGTTCGATGATTTCCTTAACATATGTCCTACCCACCTCTACAGTCTTCTCCTAATTTCCCCTTCATTTGAAAGCTGATTTGTTCTCTCCTACAGTAGGCTGTTGCTCATGGCATCCGGTCAACTGACATTGAGTATCCTGCATAGACAACTGCTTATAAATAGTTGTACCGTTTTAATGATAGGGGTCGTTTTCCAAATTTCATCCCCAAACTGTTTTGACGTCCGTATTGTAGATTCTGGCCTTGATGTTTGCTTGAAGACATGTGTTTTGAGTTTCATATGTTCTTCAACTGTAGGAGTGTTGTCCTCGATTTACCACTCATCGCGCTAGTGTTTGCATCAGATCCTCCATGTTGTGTGATTGGGTTGGTATTCTCGGTGTTGCTTTTTCATTTGTGTATGTTGAGACCTACTGATGCAAAGACTACTGCTACACTGGTTGTCTACATCTGCACTTGTTGGTATGTATGGGATAGAAGATTTAGGTCATTTGCGAAGTCCGCATCTTCTGACTGATTCTGAGCTGTCCATTATATTTTCTGCGTCCCCTCAGATATGAAAGTCTATATAATCCAATCAACCATTATAAGAAAGAGAAAAGGGAGAGTAAGTAGCCTTTTCTAACTCTGGTTCTCACTTAAAATGAGTCTGTCAGCTGTCCTCCGTGCTCGACTTTGACAAAAGAGAATTTAAATAGGAAAAGCTTGAGAGTTAACCGATCCCAAAATAAACACTACCTGAACTACTACTGTGTATATAATATCAGAATACTATATTTTCAAATATTATTATTATCTTATCATACTTAACATTGTGATTTCATAACAGCAATGTAACCTTTAATTGTAAAGTCGTCGTCTAATAATCAACATTTCACTTTCGTAAAAGGTCACTCTTGCCATCAAAAAAGAAAAAGAGCTGTTAGAGTTTAGAGGTGCATAAAGTGGGGTAGTTAACAGGATACATTATTTCATTCCGCTTTACAAAATACGAGATTCTATAGACGATTGCTAAATTTTACTTCCATTTAAAGTTTATTGAAAAATTCAAAAGAATGTAATTGATATTTTGCACATTTTCGCCACCATGTAAGTGATTTTTCTGTTGATAAGTCAATAAAACATTGTGAATTCATTTACTTACAATACAAATAATATGTAAATGTTATAGTCAGATAACAACACACTAAACAAGTCATCATCTTGGTTTTTTTCAGTCTATTTTATTACTAGGTTTTTGTTCATTATAAAAATTCATGACAAATATGATGTCACCATTGTTTCCCACAAAACTATACTTAATCATTTGAACAAATATCTTCCATTTAATTTTCTATAACAGAAAATTTCGTATGAACTCATCATTCGTTGTCCTTTCTTTTCTATTTTATTTAAAGCAAGTTATCAATTATAACTGTCGTGCCTTAGTTGCAGCTGTTCCATTTTTTACATATGCTGACCAAGATTTTGTCTCAGAAGTTGTTACAAAATTAAAATTTGAGGTATTTCAACCTGGTGATCTAATAATTAAAGAAGGAACAATCGGTAATAAAATGTATTTTATTCAAGAAGGCATTGTTGATATTATAACCAAAGATGGTGAAGTTGCAACAAGTCTTTCAGATGGATCATATTTTGGAGGTAAACTATATGTTTAACTTGAATTTTTATTACGAAAATATTTGTTTTAGTCTACCCAAAAATGAAATATTAAATTATGTGAATAAACAACTTTTAAAAAATAACTGATATAAATAGGTAATTTTCAGATGATCTACATATGGCAATAAAAAGTGAGTAAAAATTCAGAAAAATATACGTAAAGGGATAATCCCTAAACTATTAAAATGTAAAGTGAATTCCAGACCATTACACAAGTAAGGGGCTATCTGAACTTAATAGATCAGTAGATAACGAGTTAAGTGTTAGGAAGGAAGGGTACTGCGTTCGATTCGTGGCATGTACTTCAAATCTGAGATATAGTTACATCGAACTGGCGAGCTCCGTGTAGATTAAAATGCACATTTTGAATTTCACTGATAACCATAATTCATCTATTTAATTGAATAATACTTTTTATAAGCGAAATCTTCATACTCTCCCGTTGTCATTTCTTGAATGTTCAACTAATCAGTAAGCATTACTTTTCCTTATACAAATAACATAGTTTTTCTAGTGGTTATCGAATGCATATTTCTCCAATCTTTAATCGATTCAACATTTTCATTATCAAGCACTTGTCGTATATGATTCATCTGCTTAAATTTTTGATCAGTCAGTTGACGCATTTTTTATGACTCATTTTTAATGGTAGGAGTGTTAGAATTCAAAATGCTTGTTTGGATATTGTAATTTGTACTATTGAAATGTTTCATTTCTATTCATCTCAAAACTTAGTTATAACTCATATTGAAAAATATTTATTAGTTTAAATCCTTGTATTTGTTATATTTTTCAAATATACTAAACAGGAGAAACTAACTTCGAATAAACGATTAATAAGCCATTTCAATGGTTAAGATCATGAGTCCATTGAAGCTAAACCACCATGGAAAACCTGGAAGCACTGGACGGCCGTTTCACCCTATTGTGGGACTCCTCGGCAGTGCGTATTCACGACCCCGCCCCGTGCGAGATTCGAACTCAGAACCTACCAGTTTCATGATCTGGACGCATGATCTTAACCATTGAAATTACTATAATATCCACAAAACCCATCTCATATTAATTAATAAACAATCAAGTTAAAAGATATTCAAAAGAATATTTTGTTTTGAGAAGTTTCATTAGTGTTGATCTAAGTGTATATTTTTTTATATGAACTAGCAAACTGTATTCAGATGATTCACAGAATCATCTATTAGACAACACTTAACAAAGACAAAATATTCTTAATGAATACAAAGTGATATGACAAATCAGAGAAAAATTAATTTTCGGCCAATGCAAATAAAAAAATTGTTCATATACTTCAACCTATCTAGAATGGTTGATGTTTGTGAAGAATACTTGTAAAAAAATATCAAATAATTTTTACTATGTATATGGGACTGTAAAAAAGTAGTCGTTTGATCAAGACAAATAAATAATTGTAATAGTTGAGATCAATAGTCGATTGTAGCTAGACTACCATGGAAAACCTGGAAGCACCAGATAGCCGTTACGTCCTATTATGAGATTCCTTAGTGATGCGCATCTACGACTCCGCCTCGCGAAATTCGAACCCAGAATCTTTCAATCTCGAGTGCGAGCACTTAATCTTCAGATCGCTGAGACGGCATCCAACCGTATTAATGCATAACTTTAACCAATCAACGAAATTGAGCAACACATCCACCACTGTCTTCAGTGAGTTACTATCTCACAACAGACCTGGTTGAAATCCACTGGTCACGGCTTTTCATTAGAAATCCAGGAAATACACCTTGGAGACCATCACTAGTGAACATATGCTGATTAATATCAGAAGGGGTTTTTTGTGGATATTATAGTGATTTCAATAGTTGAGATAATGAGTCAATCGGAGTTAGACCACTATGGAAAACGGCCGTACAGTGCTTCCAGGTATTCCGTGGTGGTCTAGCTCCAACTGACTCATTATCTCAACTATTGAAATTATTATAATATTCACAAAATAGCCCTTCTGATACAAATAAATAAATAAGTTGTCCGAATTCGAATTAATTCTACTATTTAGATTTCTATGGATATCCGAAGAGGTGGTCTTGAACTCTGAAGAATAAATATTTCTCAGAATAATATTCTACAACAAATAAATCTGACCGATTGCGGGCTATCTAAAAAATGGGTAACCAAAAAGAGAACTGGTACGACTAATCTTCACTAATCCTTGATATTAGGAGTGCAACATAATAATGAAATGATATATAAACTGAAATATCAAAATTTTCCATTTTCATGCAGTAAACGAACGTTAACATTTGTCACTGTGATGGTTAAATTTTACAATTTTTAAATTTAAAGGAATGATTGTGTGTAACATTAAACTAAAAATATATTTTAATCCATATATATTGGTTACGTGGATCTTAAAACACAATTGTATTTTTGTGCCCGTTTGATCTGACTCCTATTTAGATTGTATGGATGTTTGTTATCGCCAATTCTCGTATATCATCGTCGACTTAAATCACGTTAGTCAATAACGGAATTTAGATAAGTCAATTAACGAGAATGGCCTTTGAATACATATATTTTGTATGTAAAGTTAATGTAATAGAACAGAGCAAAATGACGCGCAGGGAAGGTGCCTGGGAAGCCAACCCCATTTTAGTCAAGCGTTACTCAATATTTATAGTCAGACAAAATTAAGCTACAGACATGTGATTAATGGAATAAGAAGGACACACACATATACGCTCATATAAAAACAGTCAAGGCTAATAAGCGAATAATTAACAAGGTCAAAATATGACTCAAGTAGAATGAATAGAATGGAATGTCCGGAAACTAGAATAAGATATATTATGGGCTAAAACTAATGACTAACACTACAGTATGAACGAAGAATATTCTTTTCAATAATTTCACATGAAGTTCTACAATTATAAATCCAAATTAATAATCCATAAAACTGGCCAGATTTAAGGCAAAATACATCATTTGGAAATTGTAATATGTGAATCAGGAACTGTTTGTTATATAAATAAAATTGTTAATGTTGGGGCTGACTAATATAAAGTGTTAACTTGAATCAGTTTATAAGCGAAATGAAATTGTGAGATAAATTATCAGAATAAATATGGTCAACATGGGGTAAGAAAGAGATAGAGAGAGAGAATACTGTGATTAAAAATCGGAAATTACGTAATATGTAAATAATTAGGTCAAATATAGTAGATTCAGAGGTGGATATTGAATAAATTCCTCGAAAAGGGGGTTATCAAGTGTAAAGACAATAATAGTAATAATAATAATAATAATAATTGTAATCACAGTATTCTCTCTCTCTATCTCTCTTTCTTACCCCATGTTGACCATATTTATTCTGATAATTTATCTCACAATTTCATTTCGCTTATAAACTGATTCAAGTTAACACTTTATATTAGTCAGCCCCAACATTAACAATTTTATTTATATAACAAACAGTTCCTGATTCACATATTACAATTTCCAAATGATGTATTTTGCCTTAAATCTGGCCAGTTTTATGGATTATTAATTTGGATTTATAATTGTAGAACTTCATGTGAAATTATTGAAAAGAATATTCTTCGTTCATACAATTGTGTTTTAATACTTGGATCTTACCATTGATATTTCGGACTTCAAATGATCCGTTTCTTCTTGGTATATGTGCATTCTATGCGAATCGCTGAGTGCGGATAGCTAAATGGATAATGTTATTGCGTTTGGAGCTAACGGTATTGGGTTCAAATCCCTGAGTGAACATCAACTCTGAGATGCAGGCACATCCAGACGACGAATCACAAATAGGACGAAACAACCATCCTGGATTCCACTGTTAGCAACCATCATTCTCTGCTTAAAAACTAACATCACCAAGGGTTTTATAATACATGTTTATTCTGTGATCCACCTTATAAAATAATAATATATCCTAAGTGCTTCGTTTATATTTTAGGTGATGACTCATTTCTTGCTTCTTTTAAAACAGTAGATATATAATTTATATATGTTACATTTAATTATTTTTTTATATATTTACTTTAGAAATTACATTATTAACTAATACACGCCGTACAGCCAGTGTTAAAGCTGTAGTTTATTCCAATCTGTATTCATTGGATCGAGAAAGTTTTCTATCAGTATTAGAAAATTATCCATTAATGCGACGTACTATGGAATCAGTAGCAGCTGAACGATTAAATAAAATTGGTCAAAATCCGTCGATTGTTAGTAATCGTGAAGATTTAAAAGAAGATTTAAGTTTAGTTAAAGAAATTGTCAGTTCAGCTGTTACACCAGAAGATAGTTCTAGTGGACCTGAAACAGAAAATGAAGAAAATCAAGCTCATTTAAATTTAAAACAATTATTAAAATTTCGTAAACGTAAACCATCTAATCGTAATAAATTATTTGATAACACTGTAACAAAGTTAGGTCAAACAAATGAAGAAGATGAAACATTACAAGATATTGAACGTAAATCTTCATTTGTTGAAATTACATCTGTAGATAAATTGAAATTACCTAAATTTATGCGACAAAAACGTAGTTCATCAAATGTTTTTACAACTTTAACACAAAACATACCAAATTTATCAAAATCTAAAATTATACCGGACAATTCCAATGAACGTGAAATTAATAGATGCAAAAAGTCAGATTTACAACCATCAGAAAAAGATATAAGTCCATGTAATAGTTCAAATACAAATGTAACAAATTTAAAGTCTAGTGATATAAATCCCAACTGTACTACTATCACTATAACTAATTATAATACTGATGATACTGATAATAATAGTAATAATAAAATTATCAATAGTAATACAGATATTAATCAAAGACTATCTTCAAGTGATATTTCAGATGTAGATTCTTGTAAGCACTAATATGTATAATCACTCATTTTGTGCATATATATATGCATATAACATTATTCTTCGAACACTCAAATTGACAGATTCATTATACATACATATGTTTCACATCACACTACATCTTCATAGTTCATTTTATTGATTCATTCAATTCATTTCACTTCATAAAATTTAGTAAAAACGTGGTTATTAATTTAATTTTTAATTATTGTAATCATAAAGAAATACTGTTACTTCATCAATTACCTCATATACACAGTGAATGTACATAGCTACCATATATATATATATATATATATATATATATATATATATATATATATATATATATATATATATATATATATAAGAATCTACATTCAATTATTTTTCTGAATAGATTTCAATTAACCATTTATTAGCAAACATTAAAAACAATAAAAGATAATATATGAAAATGAATCCTTGTATACTTCTTTTTTTTTTAATTTTAAGGTCACTAATCAACTAAGTTGATTGGTGAAAACAATTAGTTAATTTATTACATAATATACAATGGTCTAATTAATTTCCAAACTACAGATTCAGATTAATTTATATATAATCATTAAATACGTGTTTAATGTATTTTTTTTCTGTTTTTTTTTGCTTTTTTTTGCATTTTCCACATCAATAATTTGGACACAGTATCTATGGTTAAAAAATTTTTTTTTTCTTTTTAGAAGACCTAATAAAACAGATTGATTGAAGTTATGGAAAATTTTAAGAAAATAAAATAAAATATTAGATTTTCTCTACTCAATTCTATAAGTAGTTGGGTTTTCTCCAATTCACCTCAAATAATTGGAAATGTCTATATGTTTATGATTCTTTTTTTCTTCTTCTTCAATCGAGTATAGTTTCATGTTGTGTGATTTATGTAATTTTTTTTGTTTGTTTTTTCTACACTGTAACAAATAAAGTAAATATATATAATGATGAGAATCAAAGTAATCATGACATCTTTAAAGTAACGATTACAAAATAAAGTTGTTCTAATGAGAAAATATTTTAAATTATTTAAGTTTATAATAAATACTTGGAATAGTAGTTTACCGTTGAACATTAGGAACAATTGTGTAGATACTTAATTAGAATTGGTTTCTGAACTAAATTTGGCTGCTTTCTACATTTTCTTTAAAATGTCGAGTTTATTTCCTTGTACAGGAAGATTTTTACCAATTTAAATGTTTGATTTTTTTAAAAATAGTACTCAGGATATTGTTCTACTTTAAGTATACAGTTTGTTGAAGTGTCAAGTATTCATGACCAAGATTACACCATGATGATTCAATATCTTTAATGTTCAGTCTTTTTCAACAAAAACGCCATTTATTATAAAGAAAAATAGTCTTCTCCCGGGCCTTATTTAAATAGTCTTTAAAAACACCTTTAAGTTTAACTATGCTATATCTGGTTTATTTCAGCTGTAAGTATTTCCAACTTGATTGATAATTGACAGCAAACGTATTAGTACAATTGTGTAACCATGAGAATTATTCTTGAAGAAAATTGACAAACCTTGAATATTTAGACAAAAAAATTATATAATATTAGTGAATTACATATCCATATAACTAGTATTAGTTGAAATTGTCATCCATTAACTTTATTTCCTTGTCTCAATAACGATTGTACACAGAGATGATGTAGGAACTAGGTATAGTCATGTAAAATGTTGTTTATGGCCTTATGAAGCATCTGGTGTTAGACTGATCTCTGATCATGTGAAGTTGTCCTATTAAAAAGTAGTTTGTTTTTGAAACCTTAAAACATGTAAATTATATGAAACAATTGATATACACATTAAATTTGTGTGACATTTTAGAAACCAATTTTTAATTCAGTATATCCTTGTGCTTATTAACCAAATCTTAAGATCTCTAAAAAGACAATTTAATTTAAACATGAACTTAAGAAACTCCGTTTTCATTGCTGCAGCTACTTTTTTTAAAACAGTTAATATTTCTATAGAATTACATAATACAAAACAAGGCTGTAACCAAAAAACATACCACTTAGTGAGATATAATAATGTTTAGTAATTATCTAAAAGGAATTATGATACAAAAAACAAAGCCTATAGTTAAAACATAAAACCTGAAGGTATTCATTTTCAGTATTTCTATTCTACAAACTAATATCCTTTAAATTACTGTAAATTGAAATTAATAAGAACATTACGGACTAAGATTACTTCAAGTAAAATTCTTTTACTGATAATATGATGCAAATAAATTGAAGAGATTTCATGTCAGAAAAAGTATGAACCCAGAATTTCTTGTTATTAACTAAACATTATTTTATCATAAAAATAACATTTTCATTTAGGAATTAGAAATGTTTTTCCAACTGCTGAATAGCTTAAAACAATTTACCATCATAAACAAAGATGGATTGTGGCTAGCAATGGAATCCATGATGCGTGGTTTGTCGTATTTGAGACTCGTCACCTGGATGTACCTGCAACTCGGAGTTGATGTTCACTCTATGACTTGAACCCAGTACCGTTCGTCTGAAAAGCCATCGTGTTATCCATTTAGTGAACACCAACTCTGAGATGTAGGTACATACAGCTGATGAGTCCAAAATACGACGAAACGCGCGTTCTGGATTCCACGGCTGGCCACTATCTATCTATGCTTATAAGGCTTGTGACTTCAGGCAATATCAAGGAAGTCCGCACAGGATGCACATATGCCAGCAAGAGAATGACCAATCGCAGTCTTAAATAACAATTGGAAGAGACAAGTAAATAACACCAAGTGAATCGATTACAGTTTATCATCAGTTAAAAATTTATGTAAATGAAGGAAAAAGTACTTTGCTATTTAAAACGAAGTATTTATTAAAAGCATGCGTACGTTGATTATTAGCTGTTCTTATTATTACTTGAATAAACATTTGCATAAAGAATAACTTATTTGTCTATTTAATATATAAATAAAACAATAAGGAAACTTATTAAATGCTTATGTAAAATAAATAAATAAATTTTTAAAAAACTGTATTAATGTATTTCTTTGTAGCTATCAGTGAAACTCGGTAGATGCGTTTCATGTTATTTGTTGCACGCTAGTTGGACTTGGATTAATTTTATTACTGGTTTTCGCGCTAAAAAATAAACTCATCACCTTTCACTCCAAACGCTTAACCTATCGTCCACTGAGCTATGGAGTTCAGGTAGCCACTTGTTTGTTCTAACGGAATAAAGATATTAGTAACTGTTTGTGATTTTCTATTGCTGACATTTGAAGTAATAGATACAGATTTTGAGTTCTAGTTTGAACATTACCACTAGGACACAGGTTCGTCTAGCTGGAGGGTCCAAATTAGGACGAAAGCTCGTCCTGGACTCCAGTACTAGATAGATGCCAAGTATACTAAAACTTATAACATTGAGGCAGTCCGATAAATAATCAAATACGCTAACACAGACTGACCGATTTCAGTCCTGAATATCGAAAGGTGGAATACAGCAGTTATTACATATAAAATACTGTAGTCTAAACTTTTTGGATGACGAACATATTGCGTAAATGTATCAAGACTATTACACATGATATTAAAAATTTGTGTAAATGAAGTCTAATCGAATTCCATTCATTGTGTATATGAATATCTAATGAAATCAGAAAGCGTGTGAACCCTCATGGCTTTAAATCATTTTCAGGTTGTATCGGTCTGTTTTTAAGAAAAAATATTACGTAACATAATTGTAAAAAAGATTAAATTTCTGACAAAACTCCATAGTTTTATTCCGTAAACGTCTTTTACATGGATATGCTTGTTCAAGTTCTTACAATCCCTTACTGCATACGTAATCATAAGGTAAATATCTAGTGAAGTTATGAATGTTTCATGTTTGCCATTCTTTATCGCAGCAACTATTGCTAAATTTGTGGAGAAAAAGTCGACCATTGACTACATAATGTTCCGTTGATTGAATTCTTGACATATCTATTGAAGCTTTAATACAAATGTGCTCACAACTAGAACTGCCATTGTCGAACGTCTCTTTTGTATAATGCAGGTTTATAAAATGCTAATACACTCGAATTCTATTGAGTAGATATGAATAGTATGCATATAGTTCATCAATAAGTTCTGCTTCTTGCATCTCACCGTTTAATTAATGGTAATACCTGCTAATTGCAATTTTCCGACCAGTAGAACTCCTTCTCAGAAACTAGTAGATTTCCAACAATGTTAAATCTTTTTAAAATGAAATCAACCTACAAACCAACATAACTTCTACTATCAACGACAAATCCTGTGGTATGCGAATTTCTGTAAGTAGTGCTTATAAGCACAAATAGTGTTTGATAACGCTATTTAAATTCAAATGTTTGAGAAAAAGCTAGACTATCATGGCGGTCTAGCTCCAATTGACTCATTATCTCAACTATTGAAATCACTATAATATCCACAAAAAACCCCTTCTGATATTAATCAGCATATGTTCACTAGTGACGGTCTCCAAGGTGTATTTCCTGGATTTCTAATGAAAAGCCGTGACCAGTGGATTTCAACCAGGTCTGTTGTGAGATAGTAACTCGCTGAAGACAGTGGTGGATGTATCGCTCAATTTTGTTGAATAATTGAAGTTAGACATTAACACCATTGGATGCTGGCCGAGTGGTCTAGAGACTAAGCGTTTGTGTGCGAGATCGATAGATTCTCGGTTCGAACCTTGCGAGGCGGGATGCGCACTGCTGAAGAGTCGCATGATAGGACGAAACGGCCATCCAGTGCTTCCAGGTTTTCCATGGTGGTTTAGCTTCAATGGACTCATGAGTTCAGCTATCGAATAATTAAAACGGTTATTTGCTCGATTTTAAAGCTAAAATAGTGTATAAATATTAGATATAAACAAATAAAATTTGATATTGAGAGCTAAACCAGTTGTTTGGGAAGGATGTATCTGATATTCTGAAATAAGTAGTATATCTAATCTATATCGATGCAATATTTTCATGCTATCTCTCCCATTA